GGTAAGCCTCCCATCGGAGGCAATGCAGACGGAAGTAGTTCGACAGGGCCTTGTCATTAACGCCATGCTCTTCACCGCGCAGGTATGGTCGCCACGGGCTCAGCCAAAGCAGTGTTACAACTGCAGCCAATGGGGACACACGCAGGCGTCGTGTGGAAAGGCAGCTAGGTGCGGTGAGTGCGCTGGCGCTCACCAAACTCGGGACTGTCCGAGGAAAAGAGTTTCTTGTGCCAACTGCGGCAAGGAACATCGTTCGTGGCAGAAAGCAGCGTGTCGGACCTACCAGGTTTACAAGGGTAGTGTGGAGAAAGCTCGGATGGAGCTGTTGTCAAGAACGGCGGAAATATGGAACGAAAAACCTACGGTGGCGCCAATGCGAACAGTCGGAACGACTGATGATCAGGGATTTACTTTGGTCACCAGTAAAAAGGCTGAAGTACTCAAAAGAGGGCCAGGACGACCGCGTAAGGTAGTCGAAGCCCCAGTGGCACCAACAATCCCCGCCACAACAGCACCACCATCGGGGCCAACTCTTCGAACACTTCGAAGACCAACGCCGAGTGAGGAGGTGCCTTCTCTTTTCAATTTTTCATAACGTTAGTCTGATCGAAGGGGGAGTTAACGAATTCTGGGGAAAGTTTATAAAATTGCGGTTGAAAGGAACGTCCTCAGCATTAAGCCGGGTCGGTTCAAAGTGGCAGGACATCGGGTTTTGTTTGTTGAAAGCTTTTTCCCTTACCAAAGCGGCTTACCGTCTTCATGGTTCTGTATATAGATACCGCATAGGACGTTAAACGAGACTAATTCAATTCAATTCAATAATAATAATAATAATAATAATAATAATAATAATAATAAGAAAAAAAACATCATTTTTGCCAGAAAGCTGCGCAGCCTTCCACGCTGCCCGTATCATCAATTTGACATCGTGATTCTTATTTTTACATCTTTATTACCCTCCTCTCATCTTTTCGCTTTCCGTGCTCCAACATGGCGGGTGTGGGTGCTGGTGTGGGTAAATCCAGCGGTTTCGACGCGTCGCAAAATGCGACAATGGCCTCAACAAACAACGGCAGCGGAGCGCAAACAGCTCCAAAGGATAAGAACCTTGAAATCCTGGGGAAACTACTGAAACAGGTTAGATTAATCGTAATGGGAGAGGTGGATGAGGAGGACCTACCCTCAATGGAGGACGTGAACGAGGCCGTCAAGGCCTTCAACGCGCACAAAAGGGCCTGGACGGAAATGTCCCAGAAGAAGTCTCCTATCGAGGAGAGGATGATGGCTTTAGAGGAAGTCGTAAAGAAAAGCCTCGCGGATCCCGCTCGGAAAGCTGCACCAGCAGTTGTTTCGGGCGCGCCGACACAAAGGAGTTACGCGTCGGTCGTAGCTCCGCAAATGGCGAAAACGGCGGTCAGAATAAGAATTGACGGCGCATAAAACTTGCAGCCACAAGAGCTGCTTACAAAAGCACAACAACACATTAAAGGCGCATACGCGATTCGCCAAATGCGAAGCAACGACACTGAGGTGTTCGTCCAGTCGGCGTCCCAGAGAGACGTGGCGCTTAACATGCGACAACCAACGGACTTCAAAATTCTACGGCAAGATTTTCCAGTCGAGGTAGACGGTGTCCCATTGCGGACACGAATTGAAGGGGGCAGAGATGCCAATAATTTTGCTATCATCAGGGAGATAGAGACGGCAACAAAGGCACGGATTCCAGGCTTAGTGATAAGTCGTATAAGGTGGTTACACGACGGAAAGGAACACCAGCGGTCAAAGAAAAATGGCCGCACTCGTGGATCAATAGTGGTAAGCCTCCCATCGGAGGCAATGCAGACGGAAGTGGTTCGAAACGGCCTTGTGATGAACGCCATGCTCTACACCGCGCAGGTGTGGTCACCACGGTCACAGCCAAAGCAGTGTTACAACTGCAGCCAGTGGGGACACACGCAGGCGTCGTGTGGAAAGGCAGCCAGGTGCGGTGAGTGCGCTGGCGCTCACCAAACTCGGGACTGTCCGAGGAAAAGGGTTTCTTGTGCCAACTGCGGCAAGGAACATCGTTCATGGCAGAAAGCAGGGTGTCGGACCTACCAGGTCTACAAGGGTAGTGTGGAGAAAGCTCGGATGGAGCTGTTGTCAAGAACGGCGGAAATATGGAACGAGAAACCTACGGTGGCGCCAATGCGAACAGTCGAAACGACTGATGATCAGGGATTTACTTTGGTCACCAGTAAAAAGGCTGAAGTACTCAAAAGAGGGCCGGGACGACCACGCAAGGTAGTCGAAGCCCCAGTGGCACCAACAATCCCCGCCACGACAGCACCACCATCGGGGCCAACTCTTCGAACACTTCGAAGACCAACGCCGAGTGAGGAGGTGCCTTCTCTTTTCAATTTTTCATAACGTTAGTCTGATCGAAGGGGGAGTTAACGAATTCTGGGGGAAAGTTTATAAAATTGCGGTTGAAAGGAACGTCCTCAGCATTAAGCCGGGTCGGTTCAAAGTGGCAGGACATCGGGTTTTGTTTGTTGAAAGCTTTTTCCCTTACCAAAGCGGCTTACCGTCTTCATGGTTCTGTATATAGATACCGCATAGGACGTTAAACGAGACTAATTCAATTCAATTCAATAATAATAATAATAATAATAATAATAATAATAATAAAGAGAAGGTCGTAAAGGAGAGTCTCGATAAGCCGGTCTGCAAGACTGCACCACAACCAGTGCAATTAATGGGAGGACGACCCACGTACGCCTCGATCGTCGCGCCGCCAGCCACCAAAGCGGCAGTACGGATTCGAGTAGAAGGAGCGAATAAGACGCAGCCGGCAGAGCTGCTTAACAAGGCAAAACTACATATAAATGGGGCATACGCCGTGAGGCAATTAAGGAGCAATGATACTGAGGTGTTCGTGCAGTCGGTCTCCCAGAGAGACGCTGCCTTGAAGATGGCGCAGCCCAAAGAGTTCTGCGTCCTAAAGCAGGATTACCCTGTTGAAATCTTGGGAGTCCCACTGGGGACAATTATACACGGAGGAAAGAATGCCAACAACAGCGTGGCAATATTTAAAATGACAACGGAGACAAAAGCACGGATTCCAGGGATACAAATCAACAGGGTGAGATGGCTCTATGACGGGAAGGAACACACCTGGGTGAAGGAAAATGGCCATACTCGAGGATCAGTCATTGCGAGCTTACCGACCGAGGCTCTACAACGCGAAGTGATTCGAAATGGCATTGTAATGGACTCAATGCTCTACACGGCCCAGCTCTGGTCACCCCGGGCACAAGTCAAGCAGTGCTTCAACTGCAGCCAATGGGGGCACACCCAAGCTTCCTGCAACAAGGCAAGGAAATGTGGAGGGTGCGCGGGCACCCATCAGACCAGGGACTGTCCCAAGAAGTCAGTACTTTGCTGCAACTGCGGCAAGGCCCACTTATCGTGGCAGAAGGGGGCGTGTCCAAGCTTCGCGGCATACAAGGCCAATGTTCAGCGGGCACGGTATGGACTCATGGAGAGAACGGCCGAACTAAGAAGGGAGAGCGAAACACTAACGGAGTTACCTCAATTAAATACGGTTAACATACCAGACGACCATGGATTCACACTAGTGACCAACCAAAAGCCAGAAGGCTTAAAGTGAGGGCCAGGACGCCCGCGAAAACAGGTCCTGGTCAACTCCCCTCCACAACTATTTGGACCATCGGGGTCAAATTCAAGACCACAGACGTCTCTTTTCAGCACGCGAGGGCAGGGAAAGGATGGCGAGGTTCAGTATAATTTTAGCTAGTCCTGTCTCGGGCTAAAGGCCCATTGTACATCCTGTAGGTAATAGAGGACTATAGATGAAATAAAAATTGATAGGGGGATGGGGTTTTTACCGCAAGGTTCCTCCTATGTAAATGTTAGAGTTCGTAGACACCTGCATGGGCCCAGGGGGCGCCAAATCAGGCCAAATGAAATCAAATTCAAATAACAATAATAATAATAATCTGAGCCTTCTATAATTCATTCAAATAAATGTAAGTTTAAAGTCCAAAATCTCAATCTATACAACATCCAGAGCATAAAAGTTCCTCTGCTTGACATACACTTGTTAATCAATAGTCTAACTCAGAGCCATGTGATGATACTTCTACCTAACAGGGAAATTAGGAATTAAATTTCGGCGAATAAAAGCTGGACTGGTGGTCTGATACCGACGTGCTATGAAGGTTGAATTCGTGATTCTTCCGGCTAAAAGTGAACGGTTTGTCAGCAAAGCTCGAGTAAGAACAGTAAATACTATCATGCGGTCATAAATCTGTCTTACTTTTGATGTCCTCGATAGTTTCGTCAAAAGCCAGAATCATTCTCCTGTATATTGATCCACGATCTTCAGGTGTTGCGAAAAATGTTCCGTCTCTAAATAGAATTGTTCTGAGATTCTTGGCTAGCTCCTTTAGTCCTTCGAAACTGGGCGTGAACTTATCAAGAATCATTTCAAGATCTGAAAGATCCGTATATTTAGACGAGTAGCAAGTATCAATTTCACCCTTACACCATTTGTCCAGATTTCGAAGCTTCGCCTCATCTGCAGATTCGTACTCTATGCATCCTACAACAAACACGTAGAAGAATGATTCTAGATCATGGCGATAAGTTCGTCGGATCGTAGGCTTTGAATTCGCAGCGGATTTTAATCTCTCAATTGCCATGAACTTCACGGTGCCTGTTAAGAACAGTTCTTCGTCCTCTGCGACATTTCCTTTCAACCTCACAGAACAATCAAAGTCAATCAGCATACTATGGGAATCATCATCTGTAGTTGGATCTTTCAGGATAATATTTCCTTCGGAAATATCTCCATGTAAGATACTAATATCGACAAGCCTCTGGTGAGCCTTGATCGCATCTCTAATTCCGGCCACAAAATCAAGGATCGACCCGCATGTGTCAATTTTTCTGCCACATGGTGTCATTGCAATCCTGAAAAGAAATCGATTTCTTTCCAAAGACGGTATTGTCATGGCATGGTAGTTAGACCCATAGGTTACATTATGATCGTCGGCCTTTAAATCCCAGGGATCAGCGCCGGAAAGATCGAGGTTTCCCAGGTGACTGTTAGTCTGATATACTAACTGTGATGCTCTATACTTCACGACACCTGGTAATGGAAGTGCATCCTTCATGAATCTGACTTCGGCGTTATCCGCAGACCTGCTCCACGAGTACTTTATCATGGTTGATTTGTCCTTCGTCTTATAGCAGGTCGTCCCTCTAGTGACCAGGGTCGTTGACTGTATGACAGGCTTAGGTTTGATCTCAAATATTTGGTCTGAGTTACCATCACTTCCTGTGAAATTTGCTGTGGATTGTCCATTTTTTCGCAGAATTGACATGTCACGGCCAAGTTCTTCATCGCTCATCAACAAATACGAGCATAGTGCTCGCACAAAAATCTCCTTGCTATCTATAATACCCATTCTGCCCGAGCTGTAAGCCCCCGAGCGATCGAAAACCCAGAGTTCGAATTCTTCTTTAAACATCAGAAATCCGTGCATAAATCGCCGCAGGGGCTGAGCGCAGTATACTTCACGAGCACATCTTGATAGTTGAAGGAACTTTTTCTTTCTTATAGACTTACTCGGTGATACTGTGAACTCAGCTCCAACGTTCATGTTTTCCCAATCAACATCATCATCCTGTATGTCGATGCTTTTAATCAGTAAGTCAATCTGAGTAGTACCCGTAGACTCTTGAGCACGTTGCGTCCTATTCGTACGACAATACCGCCCTCGCAGATGGGCGCCCTTATCTTCGATGACGATGGGATATTTTGTGGACCTTGTTGTGCGACCATTGAGCTGATTAAGAAAATTCTCCTCAAAGAAGGTGAGCCAGTCCCATGTCTCACCTTCAGTCATGCCTTCTTCTAGGATTTTCTCTTCTTTGTCATTATGAAGACGTTTTTGTTCCTCGACGCCTTTTGCGGTATTTTTTGCTTTTAGCTCCTTCGATCTTTTATTCTCCTCAGCAACCTCATACTTTTTATAGCTTTCCCATATACGAGAAGCCTGGTCGGTCCAGTCCTTTTTTTCAAAGAAACAGTCCCAGAAGTTTGGGATAGCGCAGAATACATTATCTTGCAAGTTACTCTGCAAATACATTTCCAAATCTTGGGCCGTCTTGTCAATATTTGATCTCTCCATAAAATTTCTACGGATTGTTGTCAAGCTGCTCCATGGTCCCACTGTTGTTTCTAACGGAAACTTTATTACAAGATCAATGGCCAGTTTCAAGATATCGCGCTCATTTTTTTTGTTAATAATGTCTTTCTCAAGTTGTTCAAATAATTTGAGATCAGCATCTCCATCAATTATTACCTTCATAGTGTTATTGAATGAGTCACGAAGTTCCGAAATGTTCCTTTTGTCTCGTAATGGCTGCGTGTACTCATATAAGCTGTTGTACAATTTATTAAGAACTAATCTGTTAGCTGAAAGCATAAGAGCTCGGAATTGAATTTTACCCAGTTTAGAGCTAGCGCCTTTGCTGTGCCTTTTTCTGCATTTCCGGAGAATATAATCAATCGAATTGTTCTCTTGATACGTGAAAATTTCTTGGAACATAGACATCGTGGAAAATAACTTTTAGAATGATGGGTGCAGAGATAAAGTGTGAAATAAGTTTATGGATAGTAGAATATTACATCAAAAACGAGGGAGGCAATCGCGTAGCTTTACGTAGTGATATCACATGACTTTCAAGCCAAATGTCACCTTCCTACAGTTGTGCTAAACTAAGTCTGATATAATGTGGCCTGGGAGGGCAAGACTGAACACCTGTACGCGGTGTCCTCTGCGAACCTGGAAGTGAAATATTTTCCCAGAGCCAAGTTCAGTCAAATTTCGCAATATCAATGAAGTTGGCCCACGAGACAATCATTCAAAATACTCCACCACGCCGTTTTTTCGCTCCCAAAGAGCTTGACTTCTACCTAAGTCTCATCAAGTCTACAAGTACGACCAAGTACATCCTCATCCCAATGAACACATTTCTCTTCTACCTTCTCTGGCCTCAGTTGACCACCAAATACACGCCCTCGCCGATATTTACACCCGACGGAGGAAGCAAAGCGTGACACACAAATCTGGGGGACAGTTCTTTGGGATGGACGTGAGAGGAATCAGGACAAGTTTACAAGATGATGCAAAAAAAGTATTTAACCTTGAAGGGCGAAATTTTGAATTCTAGCAATGAGTTTTACGAATTGAGCTTTTTGCGCGCCAAGAATTCTCTTGTGAAAGTGTAGCTGACACTATAAAAATAAGCCGACGATGGAAGGTGTTCTCTAGTATAGTTTGAGTAGCCTGGGCACCTACTCCACTTGGGAAGGAGACATCTTAGATCATATTTCGCGCGGAGAAAAGTTGATGGATGACGGAGGCATGTCTGGATAACTCAGGGTTTTTGAGACGTTCCCCTGGGCGGGTATTCACGGATGAGGGTTGACTTGGGGTGAAGAAAAAGCCACCATAACTTCGCAGTGGTACGTGCAAATGAAATCCGAGGCATGAGTGTTCCATTTTAAGATTGAGTCATCTATCCTGTACTTTTCTTTGATAGTGTCATAGCTAGATAGCTGCATATGCAACTAAAATTTGATCCAAAAAAAACCTCGTTACACACACCTTATAAGAGGCTTAGTCACTGTTACCAATGGGCAACAATGGGTGCACTCGTGACCCTTCTATTTTCAATAGATTCCAGCCAGTCAGTCAAAGGAATGAGATCCAGCTTGATGGATAAAGAATTAAATTACTGAAACACTTAAAACCGGGTCACTCTTGTGTCTTCATGAGTTAATGATTCGTTTCACTGACAAAGTCGCATCAATCAAAGTCAATCTCGCATGATATCAGCAATCTTCCCTAAATATTACGCAAGCTGAATAAATTGTAATTTTCATCTTCATATTCATGATTAAATTCTAGTCAACGTGGAAAGTATTGATGCCCATTTCATAAGCAAATAATTACTAATTTTTGTCTTATCTCGAGCCATTTGACCCTATTTCAACATATCTGGCAGTTTATCAACCCCTTTTCGCCCGAGAATATCCATCATCACGCTTTATTTTCGACGTGCTTGGAAAAATTTGTTCTCGATTCTTCCAACTAAAATGTGAATAATTTGTCAGTGGAAATCGAGTCAAAAGAGTGGATCTTTCATTTAGTAAAAATCATATCTTACCTTTGATATCCTCGATAGTTTTGTCAAATGCCTTGATGATTTTTCTATACAGAGGTCCACAGTCTTGTGGTGTCTCAATATATTGTCCGTCATCATTAAACAATATTATCCGAAACATCTTCGCTAGTTCCTTGAGTCCTTTGAAACTGGTCGTGAATTTCTTGAGAATTTCTTGATCGAAATGTTCGACATCATCCCTTTTGAGTTTGAAGTTGCCTTTCACATCGTTCGTGCACCAACGATCTAGATTATTGGCCTTGTCTGCAGATACGTCTTCATATTCTATGCATCCAACGATGAACACATAGAAAAATGACTCTAGGTCATGACGACAAGTGCGTCCGATAGACTTTCCTGTGTCACGAGCGTGCTCCAATCTCTCAAGCGCCATGAACTTTATGGTACCCGTCAAGGACTGTCTCTCTTCCAAGGCCAAATTTCCTTTCATCCTAACCGAGTGATCGAGATCAATCAACATACCATGTAAGTCATTGGCTGGAGATGGCTTCAGCAAAATTATATTCCCTTCAGAGATATCGCCATGGAGTATCTCTTTACCCACCAGTCCCTCATGACCCTTGATGGCATCTCGGATGCCCGCCACAAAATCAAGAATCGACCCACTGGAATAGATTGTCCGCCCGCTTGGTGTCATGGCTATTCTAATGAGTCGACGGTTTCTCTCGTAGGAAACAGTTGTTGAATCACTTGTGTTATGGCCTTCGGAGATATACTTATCGTCAGCTCTTAAATCCCAAGGCAGAGAAATAGAAATATCTAGGCTATCCATGTGAGATTTGGTGTCATATATCACATCTGAAGCAATAATATTTACGACACCTCGCACAGTCTTGGCCATGTTCAGGAAGTCAATCTCGGTGTTTTCTTTCGAACTAGTCCACGAGTACTTGATCATCGTCATTTCATCCTTCGTTTCAAAGCAGGTTGTACCTCGAGTTATTAGCCTCGTTGGTTGTACTATAGGTTCAGGTTTGATCTCAAACAATGGACCTGGAACATCACCAATTTTGGGGAACTGGACAAATCTATCTTCTCCATTCTGGAGGATAGACATGTCGCAGCCGAGTTCTTCACTGCTCATCAGAAGATATGAGCTTATTGCTCGGACCAACATCTCCTTGTCATCAACAATCTTTTTTGGTCCTGCGCTGTAGGCACCCGATCGATCAAAAAGCCAGAGCTCAAATTGGTCTCCGAACAAGCAGAAACCATGTATGAACCGGCGCAACGGCTGAGCGCAAAAGACCTCTCGAACAGACCTTGACAATTGAATAAACTTTTTTTTCCTTTCTTCTTCCCAAGGTGATATGGTAAACTCGCCCAGCACATTTATATTCTCCCACTCAGCAGGACCGTCATTGGGCAAGTTAATACTTTTGACCATAAAATCAAGTTGGGTTTTGCCCTTTGATTTTAGCGTGCGTCCCATAAGTCCCGTACGACAGTACTGTCCCCGCAACTGGGAGAAAGGCTCTTCAATGAATATTGGATGTTTTGTCGAAGGTTTTGGTGAAGGGCCTTTGAGCTGATCTAAAAATTTTTGCCTGAAAAAATGGAGCCATTCCCATACCTCACTTTCTGGCATGTTTCTTTCAAGTATCTTCTCACTTTTGGCTTTATGAAGGTTTTCATAGTGATAAATGTCTTCCGGCTTTTCCAATTCCTGAAGTTCTAATAATCTCTCCTTCTTCTCAGCATTCTCATAATTCTGATAGCTTTCCCATATGCGAGAAGTCTGCTTGGACCAAGTCTTATCCTCGAAAAATACTTCCCAAAAGGATACGATTTTGTAGAATACATTGTCGTCTAGATCAACTCTCATGACATTTTCTAGTTTCAAGGCCGTCCAGTCAAAACCTTCTACTTCTGAGTGATTTTTTCTATATGATGTTTTACTTTTCGTGGGGGCCAATGATGTTGGACTAATAACTATCTTTGCAAGTGAAGCGATGGATAATTCTAAGATATGTCGCTCATCCTTTTGATGGAGAATGGCGGAACTAAGATCTGCGAAATGTGCAATGTTGATTTTTCCTTCAACGATATTGATTGAGGTCTTAGTGAAAGACAAGTGAAGTTGATACATGTTGTTATTACTCCTTTGTTGATACACATAATTTCCCAGGTCAGAGTAAAAGTCAGAAACAGCTATAATATTAGCTAGATTGTTCGTAGGTAGCGATGGAATTTTTACCGCGTTTAAAGGATCTTTTTTTAAATGTACGTCGGAAAGACTGGAGGATATACTTGATGGAGTTCTCCGATTGATAAGCGAGAAGATCACCCAGTTGAGACATGCTGTGAAGGAAGGTTGTGAATTGTTTAGAGTGTCAGAAATTGATGAGGTGGAACAGATTGAGATGGAGATCTGGGGCCCAATCATTCCTTTATACCAATGAAAGTCACATGATATTCATGTCAACAGCTACCTTCCCTTTGTAAGGCTGCACATTTCTCTGAGAATCTACGACATACAGTACCTCTAGGATTCGAAAAGTTAGACTTGAAACTGGGTTGATTAAGGAATTAGCCCTGTAGGCGCAGTTGGGCTAGCTCGCAATAGGTTAGTCTGTCTCTCCTCATTATCCCGCTCGCCATGATGTGTGGTCCAATCGTCTTATTCGAATAATTGGTTACAGAAACACATTTACAACGACACTCTTGACTGCCAAACCGACACAACCCTTTTGTGGGAGGACGAATGCTGAACACCTGTCAGTGGTGTCCTTTACGAACCTGGGAGTGAAATATTCTCCCAGAGCCGAGATTCAGTCACGACAAAGGGTGAATTTGATAGTTTTCGTCGAGTTGGCAATCGAGAGGAGTGGTGTTGGCTCATTTTTGGTCGAAAATCCGACTTGCAGAGATTTCACTACTGCACAACTCAACGAAATCAACCATCACACCCCAGATATGAACCGCAGACAGCCTATAACCTGTCTGATGTTCGTATTACAAAAACCGACACCTTCAACATCTTATTTTCTACTTCTCTGGAAAATTACTCCTAGCCAAACTCATCTTGCGGCCCTCTTAACAATCATCTCACCACCTACCTAAGCAATCCCATACCTCCAAAAGCCAAATCGCCAACTAAGAAGCAAGAGGATTTCCGACCCTCTGCAACTGCCAGCCGCTGTGAAGGAACGGTCGAAATACCGGCCTTAAATGCGTCCTCACCTCGGGCAAGGGCATCAACAACTCCACCTACGACGAATCGCCACCGACGAAATACGTACGACATTTCGTCGGCACACTAACTAGAGCGTTCGACAAAGCCTGGGGCACCGGTGCCTCGGTCTTGAGCTCTCAGTCACATTTTCGACCTCCACGGTTAGGGGTACGGCAGCGACGGGGCAAGGCCGGAGGGGTGGACATTCAACAAAGTTTCTAGGATGACGAGATCGGCTGAAGGACAGAGGGATACTGCATGAAGGAATAAAAAGGGGATACAAACTGAGGAGGCCTTGGTTGGCGACTGGATGAGGCCTCCAGTGAAGAAAACGACTCCTGGATGAGATGAGGAGATGCTGAGATGAGCCAAAGCTGGGAATGAATGAAAGGGAAAAGTTATAGATCGCGGAGGTATCAAGGGCTCGGGCGCGTGGTGGCCGAGGCTGAGGAGGATCTTGCGCTTCGGCGCGCCAAAAGGGGGATCTCTGGACGGTTAGGCTTGACATGATTCAACACATGGGTGAAGTCTGAGGTGGTCCGGTCATTTAGGTGGGACGAGGTAGATGTACTTAATGGTAGTTAACCTGATCCAGCCCGACCCCACCCGTGCTTAAGCTCCGGTAGGAGTGTAACGGGAATTACTTTACCTAGCACGTAAATGAATAAGACAAGACAAGACAAGACAACCCTTTTGTGCCGGTGTAATCGCTCAGTATGCTCTGAATATCTGGGATAGCCAAGAAGAATCGCACCCGAATCGAAGTCGAAAGCAATCTCAAGCATATCTCCATTAGACGACTTCTGGACAATGCCTCTCTTACCTTTCTCATCTGAGTCCTCAAATTTTTTCTAACTACCCACCTTCTCGCCTTAATCACCAATATTTGAGTTATTCCAATTGCAGACAGAAGCTTTCTCCATCAATTTTCAGCCATCTCTCACTACATATTTACGATGCTTTTAAGACGCGCAAGGAGGAAATCAAGTCGAAAAATACAAATCCTAGGTCCTGGCTCACAGGGGACTGTTTCTCTAAGGGAGTTACACATCTGGAGGAGGAACAGGCGGCTGAGATGGGGGACGAGAGGGGGAACAGGTCTCTGAAGACCATGTGGGCACCGATATTTCCGAGTAGTTTCAACATTGGAAAGTTTGGGAGCACCAAGAGCAAGATTTTGGCTGATTATCCAGAAGGACTCCAATTTTCGATTAGTCAACGGGACTCCTTTGGTCCCTGGACGGCACAAAAGAAGTTGGGCTAAGCTACCATACAGCAATCACGCTCTGTCAAGACTTTTCTGACATTTCAGCAAAAACTTCGGGAAAGGTTTGAAAGAAGGCTAGAAAGACAGAGGGTGAATTCCCCGAGTTACCCACAAGTCTGCAACGCCTAGCTGACCAGCCTCTTCGAACGTATGAGAAGGGTCACTAAGTCTTCGGATCTAGTCCTAATGTCGGTAATAGGAGAGCTCCGCACCCAGTGGTTTTTGCGATTTTTCCCGGCTGCCACACACCCGCAAATGGCTATCGTTTCGTTGGCTGGAGAGGGGAGATAATGAAGGTCAAAGGGCTCCTCTAAGTGTATGATCGAATGAGGACTTGTGAGGGGTGGTACTGTTTGAGGGTAGCTGTATGGGAGGTATAGGAGGGGATATGCTACTGCTATAGGTATCCTTGGCCTGTAGGCAGAGAGGACCTGCATGTCCTACATAGTCATAGACTCAGATAGGTCAAGAAAATGAAATAATTAATAATTAACACAACCCTTGAATCTTAACATCACTATCAATTCATCCTCTATTCTAGCAAACAATGTCTCTCGAAATGTCTGCTTTAGAAACTAAAGTTCGCAAGCAGCTAGCTTGCGATCAATGTAATGAAATAAGAACATTGAGAAGAGTTGGCTTGACATTATAACATATATCCGACAAACTTGGCTTCACAATAAGACAAGTACAACTTGCGTGTGCTCGAGAGACTGAGAATCGTATGTCTCGCAAATGACCCTTACTAAAATTAAGCGCGGAATAAGTTGATGAGCTTGAGGCTTTCGTCCCGGAATCTCCTGAAAATCGAGAGATGTGCTATTTGGAACTAGCCATTGGGCTCTTCAGCCACTGGGGATGCAGTGAGCATTAACTTTCAAATGCCCTCAATAAAATAGGTTACAGCAGATGCATTGCTCGATAGAAGCCTCCGTTCAGCGCGGTGAACAAGCAGAAAAGATTGGAGTTCGCCCAATTACATTTAGATTGGAGCGATGAACAATGGAGTCGCATATTATGGACTTATGAAACCTGGGTATCGGGTGATTGTCATATGAAACCTCGTGTCAAAAGAAAAGTACGTTTAAATTCTATCTAAATCTTCCTTGTACCAACAGCAGAGTTTAGCCTGATGATGAATTTGATGAAACTTGAATTGTGGCTCGTCATACTCATAGGAGCAGTTGGATGTTTTGGGGATCATTTTATGGATTACAGAAAGGCCCATTCCTAGTCTGGGAGTAGGATTGGGAATCAATGAGGGCCTCATCCTTTTGTGAAAGGATTTTGCCTCTTTTGAATCAATTTCACGTGAAAAATCCTTAAATTCTATACATGCACAAAAATGCACCATGTCATAAAGCGTACTCAACAATTGAGGCGCTGCATGAAGTTGGAATAACGACTATTAGATGGCCACTTTACTCTCCGGACCTGAACCCGATCGAGTCACTGTGGAACATCTTGAAAACCCACATTCAGGTAAATAGTCCTGAGAAAAATGGGGTCAGGCTTGTGCGCTCTGCCACGTTGAAGACATTGCTACAGGATGCATGGGACTCTATACCTTCTGAGGAGCTTTTGTCACTAGTTGGTAGAATTCACGAAAGATGTGTAGCAGTTATAAAGGCAAATGGAAGTTACACAAAGTGTTAGCATGGAGCAGACTATTACATAACATGTGGAACGGTTTCATTTTAGTTACAAGCCATTCTTAGGTCTTCGATGTATACTTTTGCAATACAGAGCAATTATTATTGAAATAGATGTGTATCTTTAGAGAATATCAATTGATTTTTTTTTTTGCTTCACACGAGCAAGGAGTAGACACAACCTGAAAGCCACCGTGAGTATACAAGGGCACCTAACTTCACCGCAGTCCTCTCTTCGAATTCTTGGAGTCTTCTTCAACCCCAAACTCCACTGGGGGGCCCACCTAAAGATTATCCAGCATAAATCGTGCTTAAATCGTGCACTCAAGTGCAATCAATTAGTAGACTGACACAATCAACTTGGGGAGCGACATTCGTCAAGTCCAAGCTGCTATACAGCTCGATAGTGAGACCGGCCCTTACGTATGGGTCCTCGATATGGGCCGAGGCCGGGCCAACAGGAAAGATACCTGAAAGGATAGTGAAACCCCTTAGAAGTAATCAAAGAAAATTCTTGAAGCTTGTTGCAGGTACCTACAATTCTACTAGCAGCAGAATGCTAGAGCACGAATCGTCCGTCCTCCCTATAGAGATATACCAAAAAAAAGGAGGGACCGGCACGCCGGTCTATCAGCTAAACTCCCAGTTCAAGAGACAATCCGATCGACATGTAAGAGGATAAAGCTATCCGCAAACGAGAGAGAAACTCCGCATACATTGAACAAGAGTTA